AGAAAGGTCTTCACCAACTTTCCAGTGTTGTTAATAAGCTTCAAATCTTAATATGTTTCATCCTGTGGGATCCTGGGATTTATAGTCTAGTGAGGAACTGGAATGCTCTGGCTAATAATTCTAAATGCTGCTCCCTATACTGCAATTGCTAGGATCCCACAGAAGAAAACTCAAGCAGTAAAGTGGAATTATAGCAACAATTGTGTAATGCGAACAGGAGAGTAGGCACGGTGTAGTGGTTTGAGCATTGGACTGTTATACTTTAGACCAGGTTCTTGTCCCTGCTTGGCCATAGAAACCTATTGGTTGACCATGGGTAAAATCACACTCTCTATCTCAGAAGAAGGCAAACCAAACTACTCTTGCCAAGAAAGCCTCATGATAGGTTTACCTAAAACAAAGGGCCTTTCCACAAAGCCATATAACCCATAATATCAAGGCAGAAAATCCTAAAATATCTGCTTTGAACTGTGTTATCTGAGTTCCCACTGCCAGATAATCTGGGATAAACAGAAAACCTGGGATCAGATCCTGGGACCAAAGACAGCTGGAAAGCATGGCATAGAATTATATCCATCGTTGCCCTACCAAACAGTTATCCAAACTTATTTTATGTGTCAATGGCTAATGGTAAATTTACCATTTTTGAAGCACTGGGAATCACTCCCTTTTACATATGAGGGAGAAAAATGACATGAAAACTGATATTTCTCAGCCACAGCAAACCTACATAGGCTCATGATAGGTTCTTAAATCCATGCCTGATCTGTAAAAGATAAGACGGTATACATTTTTAAATAAACCTAAATGCTTTTAATAACAGCTGGCATCATTCCAACCACAGCATTTCAATTTGTTTCAGCTGTAAAACATCTGAGAGATTAACTGGCTTTAGAAGCAGAAGACTGGATTCACCACAAATATTTTAATCTTCACTAAAAATGGAAAGGAAGGTTGCACCTACCGAATCAGTGCAGTTGACAATGCTTTATCCACCCATGGCTCAATAATATGGGATCCTGGAAGTTGGTGAGGCACTAGCACTATTGAGCAGAAAAGACTAAAGACCTTGTAAAACTACAATCCCCATATTCCATAGCAACGAGCCATGACATTGCATGTAAAGTGGTGTCAAACTGCATTAATTCTCCAGTGCAGATGCACCTAAAATGGGTCACCCTCCCTCTGCTCCTAAAATGGAGGATCATTAGACATGTTTAGTACAAGATCTATGGGATAAAAGTATTAGATCATTATCATGATGACTGGCAATTAAAATGATCAAGGGTCTGGAGAACAAGCCCTATGAAGAGTGGCTTAAAGAGCTGGGCATGTTTAGCCTGAAGAAGAGAAGGCTGAGAGGAGATATGATAGCCAAGTATAAATATGTGAGAGGAAGTCACAGGGAGGAGGGAGCAAGCTTGTTTTCTGCTTTCCTGGAGACTAGGACACGGAACAATGGCTTCAAACAACAAGAAAGGAGATTCCATCTGAACATGAAGAAGAACTTCCTGAATGTGAGAGCAGTGGAACTCTCTGCCCTGGAGTGTGGTGGAGGCTCCTTCTTTGGAAGCTTTTAAACAGAGGCTGGATGGCCATCTGTCAGGGGTGCTTTGAATGCAATATTCCTGCTTCTTGGCAGGGGGTTGAACTGGATGGCCCACGAAGTCTCTTCCAACTCTATGATTCTATGACTGTATCCCATTCCCTTTCTTTTGCTTGCTTTCCTTTTACACAGGCAGCAATTTATCTTTCTAGCTGTTAATCAAAGTCATATTACAAGCTTGCATTTGAAGTCTGTGAAAATGCAATTTCAAAAGGCCTCTGCAATTGATTCTACAGGTGCTCCCAGGTGAGGGTTTTGCCATCCAATTGCAATGCCTTAAAGGACCACTATAAAGCCATGTAATTCTCTCACTCTTGCTCTATTTTTTGCTGAGCTCCTATGATTAGGATATATTGCACCAGAATTGAAGGTGCTGTTTCATTCTTTAAAGTCCAAGAAATCTTTACGATTACATCCGTCCAGTACATGCAGTCCCTGAGTAACTTACATATGACTTAAAGTTACAAACAGGGGTAGAAAGACTGGAAGTGAGAGAAAATAACAAATCTACAGAACCTATTTTGTTTGTAACTTGGGGACTGTATTGTATATCTGTCACCTGTCTACATTTTGTCACCCGTATCGAAAGCATTTTTCCACATCACAATCTAAACTAGCATCTATATTTGATCCTGTGCTCTGAAGACAGGCCTCAACCCATATGATCGCCATACAATTCCTGTAATGGATGCAGTGCAGCTCAATGAAAAAAGCACTCCTGGATTTTAATCATCTCAGTGTAAAGATACCATCACATTTAATTAAAAATATGTGACCTGGGATTATCGTTTGGACACAATCAACCCTTCAATAGCTTTCAGCAGCCGTGCCCCACTGACCCAATAAATGGCTCTGCTGTCCACAATGATATTGTTGCTAGGAGAAAAATGTGACACTCCTGAATGTGCAATGTGTGTGTGCGTATGCCTGCCAGAGGAGTCCAACTGCTCTGAGAACAGTAATATAAGAGTATCCCCAAAAAGATACACACTAATATATCACAACTAATAGTAACTATGATGATTATTTGATGGCTAAGGAGATACATTAATATTGAAGAATCAATGCCATTGTAGTGTTGCCAGGTCATCTTAAATCAGAATTTGATTTAAGTTGTTCCAATCGTTGTCCTTGTAGAGGAGGCATGGGCAAACTTGGATCCTCCTGATGTTTTGGACTTTAATTTCCACAATTCCCAACAGCCTCAGCCCCTTTCCTTTCCTTTCCCCCCTCAGTCATTTACCTGTTATAGAGCAAAAATAGCACAGAGTCACTAACTTCCCTCCAAATTTCCCTTGTAATTTTGCTATGCTTTCTCTGCTAGTGGCACCTTTAATCCACTCTTAAGTGTATATATCCCCTCTTCCCCTCCATCCCACACTTCCTTGACCCCCTCCATCTCCTTTACCCCTTCTTCTTCTTCTACCCCTTCCTCCGTTGGCTCCTCCTTTTACCCCTTCTTCCTCTTCTTTACCCCTCCTTCACTCCTCCTCTACCCTTTAATTCATCTTTACCCTCTCCTCCTCTGCCCCTTTTATTCCTTTTCTCCTCTGCCCCTCTTCCTCCTTTACCCTAGTCCTACTTTACCCCCTCTTCCCCCATCCCTTTACTATTCCTCCTGCTTCTTTATCCCGCCATCTTCTTTACCCCTTCCTCCTTTTAACCCTCCTCTTTAACCCTCTCTCCCTGCTCTTTGCTGCTTCTCCTCCTTCATTCTCCTCACCCTCCTCCCTTTCCTCCTTCTTCTTTATGCTTTCATCCTCTACTCTCTTTACCCTTTCCACCTGTAGCCTCCAACTCTCCTTTATCCCTCTTCTTCCTTTACTCTAGTCCGACTTTACCTCCTCTTCCCCCTTCCTCCATCCCTTTACTATTACTCCTGCTCCTTTATCCCTCCATCTTTTTTTACTGCTTCCTCCTTTTATCCCTCCTCCTTAACCCTCTTCCTGCTCTTTGCTCCCTCTCCTCCTTCACTCTTCTCTCCCTCTTCTCTTTCCTCCTTCTTTACCCTTTTCTCCTCTAGCCCTCTACTCTACTTTCCTCCTTTGCACCTCTTCCTCCTTGACTCTAGTCCTACTTCAACTCCACCTACACCTTCCTCCACCCCTTTACTATTCCTCCTGCTCCTTTACCCCTCCATCTTCTTTACCCCTTCCTCCTTTTACCCCTTCTTGCTCTTTACTCTTTCTCCTCCTTCACTCTCTGCTCCGTCTACCCTTTCCTCCTCTACTCTTCCTCTTCACGCTGCTTCTTTACCCCTCCATCTTCTTTACCCCTCCTCTTTAACCCTCCCTTCCTGCTCTTTGCTCCTTCTCACTCGCTCTCTTCTGGCTCTCCTCTAATCTCCTTCTTTACCCTTTCCTTCTATAGCTCTCCTTTTCTCCTTTGCCCCCCTTTCTCAACTCTAGTCCTACTTTACCTCCTCTTTCCCCTTCCTCCCTTTACTATTCCTCCTTCTCCTTTACTCCTCCATCTTTTTACCCCTTCTTGCTCTTTCTCCTCCTTCACTCTCCACTCCCTCTACCCTTTCCTCCTCTATTCTCCCTCTTCACCCTGTTTCTTTACCCCTCCATCTTCTTTATTCCTTCCTCCTTTTACCCCTCCTCCTTAACCCTCCCTTCCTGCTCTTTGCTCCTTCTCCTCCTTCACTCTCCTCTGGCTCTCCTCTTGTTGTTCATTTGTTCAGTCGTCTCCAACTCTTCGTGACCTCATGGACCAGCCCACGCCAGAGCTCCCTGTCGCCGTCACACCCCCAGCTCCTTCAAGGTCAGTCCAGTCACTTCAAGGATGCCATCCATCCATCTTGCCCTTGGTCGGCCCCTCTTCCTTTTGCCTTCCACTTTCCCCAGCATAATTGTCTTCTCTAGGCTTTGCTGTCTCCTCATGATGTGGCAAAAGTACTTCAACTTTGTCTCTAGTATCCTTCCCTCCAGTGAGCAGTCGGGCTTTATTTCCTGGAGGATGGACTGGTTGGATCTTCTCGCAGTCCAAGGCACTCTCAGAACTCTCGTCTACTCTCCTTCTTTACCCTTTCCTTCTCTAGCCCCTTACTCTCCTTTTCTCCTTTGCCGCTCTTTCTCCTTGACTCTAGTCCTACTTTACCTCCTCTTCCCCCTTCCTCCATCCCTTTACTATTCCTCCTGCTCCTTTACCCTTTTCTCCTTAACGTCCCTTCCTACTCTTTTGCCCCTTCTCCTCCATCATCTCTACTCCTCCTCTCCTCCTTCTCATTTACCCTCTCCCTTTAGTCTTCCTCCTTCTTTGATTCCTCAACTCCTTCGCCCCTCTTTCCTCCTCCCTCTCCCGTCCTTTGCCTGCCTCCCAGCTTCGCCCGTGGCGTGGAGCCTTTTCGGGAGCTGCTGGTGCTGCTCATGCGCAGTGCCGGCCCTGCTGGCGCGCTGTCCTCTGCTGCTCCGCTCCTGCTCCTCCTCTCAGTGCTGCTGCTGCTGCTGGTGCTGCTTTCGGTGCGGCAGCAGAAGCAGCAGCTGGCGAGCTTTCCCTCTCTCCTCTTTCCCTTCTTCTCTCTCTCTCTCTCTCTCTCTCTCGGGGCCAGTTGTGGGCCGGCCTGCCTCCTTGCTGGCTCGCTCGCTCGCAGCATCCTCTCGTGATCCCTCTTCGGAGCGGGGCGGAGGAGAAGGGAGCCACGGGCCAAGCTGCGCCTTTTGGGCTCCAATCTCTCTCTCGCCATCCGCTTGCGATCCGCCACCGCTCGCTGCAGAACCCGCCGGGGCCTCTAGAGGGCGCGCTGCCTGAAGCCCGCTAAGGACAGAGTGGTCAGCTGAAGGGGGGCTCGCTCTTGCACTCTTCCCCCAGCCACTGCTTGGGCTGCCTTTGGGCGCTCGCTGGTAAGTGAAATGCATGGAAAACTACATTTCTGGGAGGGGGGGGGGACACATGTGCCCCAACGAATGAGTCCCTGGAGTGAGAGCAGGGCCTTTCGGGGGCAGTAGTACTCTGCACATGCTCAGAGGCACTGCTCTTATGCCTGGACCCCCCCCCCCAGAGATTGGACAAGAATGACATTGAAAATGGAAAATAAGACCTTGGAATTTGGAAATGACTGAAACCTAACTGTATGAAGGGATTGATGGGAACTTTTAATTTGAGAGTGTGTGTGTCCTTTGCTGAGCTTGGGAAGTGAATGGGAGGGATTGGTGGGAATCTTAAAGGGATTGATGGGGACTTTTAGTTTATGTGTGTATCCTAATGTTGCTGACTTAAGGCAAACCTCAGGAATGTCATAGGGTTTTCTACAGGGAATACCCAGAGGCAGCATTGCTATTTCTTTCTTTCCTCAAATACAGCGCCGGTCTCCCATTCAGGTACCAACCAGGGCTGACCCTGCTTAGCTGTCAAGGTCAGGCCTACAGGGCCAGCTGCTAATACAGGTCTGAATGTCATAGGGTTTCCTTTAGGGAATACTCAGAGGCGGGATTGCCATTTCTTTATTCTCCCAAATACAGTGCACGTCTCCCATCCAGGTATCAACCAGGGTTGACCCTGCTTAGCTGTCAAGGTCAGGCCTTCAGGGCCAGCTGTTAATACAGGTCTGATTGTCATAGGGTTTCCTTTAGGGAATACTCAGAAGTGGCATTGCCATTTCTTTCTTTCCCCAAAAACAGTGCCCGGCTCCCATCCAGGTACCGACCAGGGCTGACCCAGCTTAGCTGTCAAGGTCAGGCCTTCAGGGCCAGCTGTTAATACATGTCTGAATGTCATAGGGTTTTTTATAGGTGGCATTGCCATTTCTTTCTTTCTTTCCCCAAATACAGCACTGGTCTCCCATCCAGGTACCAACCAGGGTTGATCCAGCTTAGCTGTCAAGGTCAGCCCTTCAGGGCCAGCTATTAATACAGGTCTGATTTCATAGGGTTTCCTATAGAGAATACTCAGAGGTATCATTGCCATTTCTTTCTTTCCCCAAATACATCGCCGGTCTCCCATCCAATCTGTTAATACAGGTCTGCAACAGAGTAGATCAGGCATGGGCAAACTTAGGCCTTCCTAATGGTTTGGACTTCAGCGGCTTAAGCGGCTGAGGGGGGAAAGGAAAGGGCCTGAGGCTGTTAGGAATGGTGGGAGTTGAAGTCCAAAACACCAGGAGAGCCCAAGTTTTCCCATACCTGCTGTAGATGCATTCTAAGGCCCAGTAAGTATGTATAGGCTTGCAGCATTCTTTGGAAGAAAGTTGCATTGAAGTAACTGTGATTACTCCCCAAGAGACATGTTTATGCTTAAGTTCATGGTGCTACTTAATTGACACCAGCTTGTAGTTGTGATGGCTGTGTTTACAAGGCTGTGTGGTTTGGATTGAGGCTTCTGCTTCGCTATGAAACTCCTTGGGTGGCCTTGGAAAAATCCTAGGATAAATGAGATAAGACTTAATAAACAAGACTTGAGACTCTGAGTGTGGTCGAATAATATAATATCACTTTCCTATGAGAAGAAGGGCTGCGGTGGGAAAGGCACAAGGGAGAGGAGAGACATTGCAAGCCCAGGAGACAGACGCACATAATGCAGATCTGGCATCTTGCAAAAACCGCTTCAAGCTTGCCAGCTGTAAACAACTTAATCTCAAGGTTTTTCTGTTTTGGTTTAGGTTAGCAGCAGGTTTTATAGAGATGTCCTGAAACCAGAGAGTGGCATATATTATTTAGTAAGCATGCATTTGTTGTGGTTGTGTGCCTCCATCCAAGTCATTTTCCAACTTCAACATAAATACCGTAGCGGTCTGGAAACAGCTGCAAATGAGACCGGGATGGCAGCTGATGGATAGCAGGTGGCATTTGGAGTTGTAATCATATGCAATCCCATTGTAATGAGAAGTGTGCCTGGGTGAATGGTTTGTCGTTGGTTGATGCTGTGAGTTTTCCGGGCTGAATGGCCATGCTCCAGAAGCATTCTCTCCTGATGTTTCACCCACATCTGTGGCAGGCATCCTCAGAGGTTGTGAGGTCTGTTGGAAACTAGGCAAGTGAGGTTTCTATATCTGTGGAATATCCAGGATGGGAGAAAGAACTGTCTGTTTGAGGCCACTGTGAATGCTACCATTGATCACCTTGATTAGCATTGAATAAATAGCCTTGCAGTTTCAAGACTTGGCTGCTTCCTGCCTTGGGGAATCCTTTGTTAGGATGTGATTAGCTGGCCTTGACTGTTTCTTCTCTGGAATTCCTCTGTTTTTTGAGTGCTATTCTTTCTTTACTGTCCTGATTTCATAGTTTTTTTTAATACTTGTAGCCAGATAATTGAATTTGATTTGTAGTGAATTTTTTTTTGGAGGGAAATGGGATGGGGGATTAAAAGACAATGGGTGAGATCCCATACACAAATCCTAGAAAGTGGCAAATTGGAGAGGGAAAAGGGAGAATATGGGGAAAGTAGGAGTGCATGTCATAGGTGCCATTCACCATAGGTGCTGTTGAAGAGCTGTGTGGTTATTCAATTGTAGATTATTTGGTCATAGGTCAAGTGGCACCTAATGGATTGCAGCCAAGTCTATTTCATCAGTTGTAGATGAGCTGCCTTCGTGTTTGGTTGTTTCTGAAATTTCTTCTAGGTGTGCACATTGGTGGCAACTAAAACTCATGAATTCCAGATACAGTTCCTTCCAAGCAGACATTTCCATTTCTCTCTGTTTTTCTCTCTCTCTTTCACACACACCTGGAAGAAAAGGTTTAGCAGGAAGATGTTCGTTTGACTTTGGGATTCGGGTGCCTCGAACTGAGATTATATAGACTATATGCAGATTTGAGTTTGGGATTTAGCCTACAAAACAATGGATTGGAAGCATTCTGTTAAAGCTTTTCCTACCCACAGTTATTAGTGTTCTGGGTTGCTGTGAGTTTTCCAGGCTGTATGGCCATGTTCCAGAAGTATTCTCTCCTGGCATTTCGTCCACATCTATGGCAGGTTGTGAGGTCTGTTGAAAACTAGGCAAGTGAGGTTTATATATCGGTGGGATGTCCAGGGTGGGAGAAAGAACTCATGTCTACTTGAGGTAAGTATGAATGTTGCAATTGAACACCTTGGTTAACATTGAATGTCCTTTCAGCTTCAAAGCCTGTATGCTTCCTGTTTGGGGGATTCCTTTTTGGAAGGTGTTATCTGGCCCTGATTGTTTCATGTCAGGAATTCCCCTGTTTTTTTAGTGTTCCTTGTTATTTAAAGTCACGGTTTTACCATCCTTCCCAGGCAGGAAGCAGTCAGGCTTTGATAATTTTGTCAGTGCCGATTGTGTTTAAATGCAGGCCAAGGCCTTTAGGCACTGCACCCAGTGTGCCAATCATCACTGGGACCACCTTGACTGGCTTGTGCCAGAGACTTTGCAGTTCAATCTTTAAATCCTCATACCATGTCAGCTTTTCCTGTTGTTGTTGTTGTTAAGCTTCTGTTTTCAACATGATAAGTAAATTTCCCCAGAGATCACACTCTAGTTGTTTTTTTAAGTCTTTCCAATAAGCACATTGTAATATACGTGGTTCTTCTGTCCTTGTATTGGCCTCATTGTTATCCTTAAAGCTATATATGAACATCAAACCTTTTCTGTGGCCCTTGGCTGCCATTGAATCAGATACTATTGATGCAATCTGCTCTGCTGAAAAAGGCCACTTAGATGGTATCATTTTTACAAGGTATCATTTTTTCTCAGCATTTTGGTTTCTGCAGTGGTGGGAAGGAAGTATACACTCTGACCAACAATTTCATACGGCTTTGTGGTGCAGGAGGATGCTGTGAATGAACTGCTTCAGCGGTCATCAAATTTGCAAAGACTGAAAAGTTAAGGGAGAAGTTGGGGGTGTTGGAATCTGAAAGGTTATAGAAAAGTTTTCTTTTGTCTCCAACACCACAAAGTTGGCCAAGCATAATAATAATAATAATAATAATAATAATAATAATAATAATAATAATAATAACAACAACAACAACAACAACTTTATACCCCACCATCTCCCCAACGGGGACTTGGGGCAGCTAACAGGCCAAGCCCAACAATAACAACAAATCAAAACAAAATACATACAGCAAATAATAACATCAGATAAAATATAAACAAAGCAAATTAATACAAAATCAAATACAGGAAATGAAATAAAATAATAAAAATGTGCACAGCGGACTGGGCCAAGTTAAAAGGGTAGAATTAAAATATAAGAACCCTGGGTGAGATGGATGAGTAGGGTAGTGTGCCTGGTGGGGGGATTTCAGGTGGGAACGGCAATGGGGTGAGTATAATTGAAGGATGAGATAAAGTTCATCAATGGACATATTGTGCTGAGCTGGTCATGCTGTGGGGATTGTATTCATTCCTCAAAGGCACACCAAAACAGCCAGGCTTTTAGGCTCTTTCTGAAGGCTGCCAGGGTGGGCGCCTGCCTAATCTCTCCAGGTAGCGAATTCCAAAATCAAGGGGCCACCACGGAGAAGGCTCTCTCCCTTGTCCCCACAAGTCGCACTTGTGATGGAGGGGGAAGCGAAAGGAGGGCCTCCCCAGAGGATCAAAGGGGTTGTACTACAATAAACTGACAGTAGACATTTGTTCATCATGGTAAACTACGGCTTTATTCACTGTACACTTGGAGTTTTGACTGGGAATAAAGCTTCCCCCCAAGGCATGTGTATTAACCATAGTTAAATATTGAGCATCTGTCCAACCTTATGCACTGACTGCAAGATATTTTTGTCATATGTTGATCATCATATACTGGAATCCTTTCCATATGGAGGCATTTGAGTTTTCCCTTTGCAACTCCAGTCTCCAAAATGCCTCTCTCCAAGTTATGCTCCCTGCTGTTGAAAGATTTCTGCTGCTGTTCTCATGTAGAAGTTGAATTTCTTTCTGTTC